TGGCTTTCAATGCGAAATGTGGAAATGAAGAAATGGAAAGTAGAAATGCGGACTCCGTTTCCAATATTATACCTTGAGAAACCCCAGACTGGAGACTCCAGTTAAGATGTGTTTCCGACGATGTATCGCACTATGTCAATGGAGTGTGTTGATGTAGCGTATTACTGTCCATACTTTACCATCTCATACATTATTTTCCGCACTGCAAACGCGACCCATGTGAGCTGAGCAACACCAATAGATATCCTGATCATCGGGCAACATGCTCAATCATAGTGTAGTTCATAACGATCGAATCGATCGGATCGATCCATATATTGAACTCGGGCCATCTACAACAAACACATCAACATGAGATATCATGGTCCCGATAAACGAAGCTGTGCGACCAGACGTACCAAACCTGAAATTCCTCACCCCAGAGCGTGTGTTCGAAGATATCACAGAACGCATAATGCCAGGGATTTGCTGTATGACTCATCGGCGAAGACTTTGGGACCCAATTCATTGAGATAACCTTGATTTTCCTGTGAAGCTGATCGTTAGATACTTGAGCGCGCCATACTCACGCAGCCACACGTGAATTCGAACATTTCAAGACCAATCTCTGGTCACAGAATTCTACACCTTTTAAACATCTAGTTCGTCTATGGAACCATCAATTTCGTCGGGACGCGCGAAGTTGGAGGTACGAATCCGAAACGGGAAGACCATATTCGCAATTAGAACTTTCAACTTCGTCATAGAACTTTCAAGTTCGTCTGAAGTCGATAGGAAGTTCAAGTTCGTCCTAATAGAACTTTCAATTTCGACTCTCGAACCTTCGAGTTCGTCATAGAACTTTCAACTTCGTCGAGTACACCTTTGGAACTTCAATTTCGTCCCTTTAGGAAAGTCGACTTCGTCGTTCGGAACTTCAATTTCGTGTTTGCGGGGCAATCATGCCAGTACTCTCATGGTGAGGCTTATGATTAGTGCTCGCGGTACACAACCGAAGTAGTACTACAGCAACAACGAAGGCACTATTGAAAATCCTCATATCAATGTCATGTCACATGAATAGTGCGGCCAGCCAGTAGCTGGCAGCCACTCATATGACTGGCTCGATCAAGAAAACGACATAGTCAACCACCGGCAGGCATGTATTCGTGGTTGATTGCTTTACTCAACAGCCCAATAGCATGCCCGCAGAAGCGAGCTGTGACAGCGCAACGATGCCTCCTCGCCATGTTCTCGAGCCATGTGCGCGCGGTCAGGAGATATGACGGGGTGAGCGGGAGCAGCGGCCGCATGGATGGGTGTCGCAGAGGCTTGGT